AAATAATTTTTTTAAAAATTCAGTCAAAAACGAAGAAAGAGTGTACTTCAACGTTTACACGCACCTATGTACATCTGTACACTCTGGGTTCCGAAGAAAAAAGCGTCCATTGTTGGCGAAAACCCGCCGTTACGCTGGTCTGAATACCCACTGCTGCACCGGAAACTGGCTACCGTTGTCTTGCCTTCGTTGCTTGTTCCTTTCAAATCCACAGCTGAAACAACGTCAAAAGAAGAAACCGTGCGAAGCAAATTAGATTTAGTACGAGTTTTACGTGGCATTGCAACACTGACAAGGTCATATTATACGAGCTGAAGAACAGAGGTGTTACAAGAGAGTAACAATGCACAAAAAGAAGGAGCGACAAAGATAATCGATGTTTGATAAGAAAGAAGGGCAAGCCATACTAAAGCACCCGCCAACCATCCATGCAGCGGGTAGTTTTTAATTATTCATTTATTATTTCTATTTTTTCCTAGTAAACTATTAAAGATAACATAACTGTAAACATAAAGCCCCCCCAAACCATTTTGGATTATTTGGATTATTTTGATATAATGCATAGACCGGAGTCACCGTGAGGTTCACAATGGGGTTGCAACTATTCTTTAGAGAAACAAGAAATAATTACAATTGCAAAAAGGAGAAAAATCCAAAACAAATCAAAATAACAACATTGACGAAGCTTGAATGTGTTAAGGGAAAGGTTAGAAGGCAAAAGAAGAAGTTTGTTTTGTTTTAATAGAGGTTTTGCGGCGCTCGCAATAGCATAAGAAAAGAAGAAGATATGAAAACATTAAAACAAAGCAGAATAAACAGATGTAGACGAAATCATAATATTATATTATCATTATTATTTATTTCGTTTTTTTAATTATGTAAATTTCACCCTCCTACCCGACAAAAATTGGTGAGAGTAAAAAGCAGGGAAAATAAGAAAGAATACCGGCACATTAGGAGGTAGACATGATTGATCAAAAGTTTGATATCGTTAATATATTATACCCGTGCTTAGCAGCATGTTTCATTATTTTATGGTCAAACAAAGGGGCTATGTTGACTTATGATATGCAAGATACATTTCTTTCATTACCCCCCCC